ATCTTTCTGAAATCACGTACGTAAGTACAACTCTCGCCGAGAAATTAAATTTTGCAATGCAGACGTCAATTCGACAATTAATTTGGAAAGTATACGCTTGAAAACAAATGAAGCCCATATCCCGAAATTAAGGCAAAAATTTGGGAAAATGCTAAATTCGTTGTATCTTTCTGAAATCACGTGTATAAGTCATGCTCTTGGCGAGATATTCATTGGTGCAAAGCAGACGTCATTCCGGCTATTAGTTTCGAAATTATACGCTTGACTTTTTTGTCCCCTCAAAACTTTGCATTTCTCCTTTTTTAGAACTCGTTCCCAAGAAAATTCACCTTTCCTTCCAAATTTAATGACCCCCAGAAACACGAAAATGTGTTTTTATGGGCCTTGGATGCATTGTTTTCAACATTAGTACTGTTATAATGTGGGTTACAGTAATCTGTTTATTAAATCATAATCTGCAAACATTTTTTCCACCTCAAATCTTTTTGATGTAGATTTTATCATTTTAATGAAGATGCATATCTTTTTGAATGGGATTAGTCTCTGAACGGGTGTAATTCGCTATCAAGCAGTAGTACACATAAGGGGTTTGTGTGGAAGATTTCTTATTAATTGATAAAAACTGTTATCTATCCTTAGCATATTGCATATAGAGTGTAATCTTTCAAGAGAGGAAACATTTCAGGAAATATTTTTGAATTCTTATCATATTAGTTGGTTTCAATACAGACAGACCATTTAGTATTCCTGTTAAGATCAAAGGAGTTTTCTCCCTGAGATCATTTACTAAACATAAATAAGTTAAAGGTATTCCAAGACATACAGATAAAATATTCAGCTTCTTTCTTTTGAAAGACACACAAACTTTTCAAAGCTAAATGGAAAAAGTTTTAAAAAACCTACTTTGCCCACGAGGAGGTAATGGAGGTGCTTCGTCCATGCTCGCTTCAGACCAGGAATTCCGAAGAGGGCTGCTCACTGTGTCCAAGCCTCCAGGAGGTGGGGTGCAAGGGAATGACAAGGGCTTGCTCAGAGATCTTTGATGAGTGGGCTTCGGTGGACGAGGAATAGTTGGACTGCTGTCACCTTCCAGAAGTTCCCTACAAAGAGTAATTTATCATAAGCACAATTGAAGTATGGCATCACCTTTGCAGAATAGCAATAATAAATAAAAAAACAATATTCTTCTCTTTCAACAAGAGAATACAGGCCTTAATATTTTTGTGCATGTAGCTACAGTTATATAATTTTCTTTACAACACAATTCTGACAGTCAAATCTCTTCTACATTTCATTTTGTGATATCAAATATCTTCAAACTTATTCTTTACATCATTAATGCTATTTGTCTTCCTCTAATTTCCATTAAAAATTTCTTCTGACAATGCAGAACACACCAATTCATTCAAAATAAAACATATGCAAGAATCTTCAAATGATGTTGTTGGGGAAGAAAAGGAACTGGTCACTTAAGTACAGAAATAATGTAATGAAATGCTGGTTACCTGGTGATTCGCATCGGAGGTAGTGACGAATAATCATTGTTCCCCCTGGTGGGAGTTCGTGCCAAGTCCCCATACCCCACCGACCGAGGCCGTGACTCTCGCTGTGGAATCGGAGGGGGAGGTGGAGGGGGTGGATGTGCAGAGAGAGCCTCCATTGGCTTCGTGTAGATATCTTCATCATCCACACCCTGTTCCTCAGCAGCTGCTGCAGCTTGCGCCAATTGACCGTATGGAACAGTGCTGCGCCCACCAATTGTCTCTCCACTTAAATGGACTCCAGCAGAATGAGTCATTAGTTTCTTTTCAGTTGGAAGTGGAGGAAGAGGAGTGCTGTTATGGACAGAGAGCACAGAAATGCTTTGTACAGAGATGGTTTATTCTTGACTCACAATTAGAAACAAAACTTAATTGAATAAACAATATGAAAAAATAACCTGCATACATTAATATTCATATTTCCAGAACTATTTGATCCTTAATGGTGGAATAAACGTAAATATTATACAAGTTGGAAATCAATGAATAAAAGAAGTTTTTCAAAAATTATTTCGGAATATTTAATACATTACTCTTAAGAATATAATTAATAAAGAATGCCTCTGTAGACAATACAGAACTCTTGTATCTTAAAAATTTAGTACATTTCTCCACAAGAAAAATTGAGGGTAGGTGTAAAGAAGTGATCTCTGCTCCATTAACAATAATAAATTGGAAAGTTTCTAGTGATCAAGGCAAATTGAAGAACTAAAAACAAATTGTAAGAAATCATTTTAAGAACATAATGTATATTCCTGATTCATTGGTGGATCCAGAGAGGGGCCCAAAGCCAACGGTAAATTTACTCACTTTATTCTAAAGTAACACATAAACATTACGGGACATCCCAAAGAAGTATTCCCATTACAAAATAACCGTTTCAAAAAATGCAATTGTTTAAAAGTGTTAGGAGAGGGTTCAAACTGAAATAGGCTTCTCCTGAAAAACTCTCTGAATTCACCTGTTCTGAATGGCCTTTTAACCTTTGAACACTAATACATTGTAATGTTAACAACATGAGTGAGTGTGATGAAGTTTTGCTCCTCCTACAAGCAAGAGTTGGTTCATTTAATAGTTCCAGTTGCTTAAGGAAGATTGCGCGTTTGCATTTTCAAATTTTTTGTGAGACATATCGTTTTTGGTGTTGTTGTTTTTTTTTTAATGAGATATATTTTGTATTATAAAAGTGCTCATCCAAGTGTGTCAAAACAATGATAAACATGTCAGTCTTATTTCCTATTCCTCATTATGACATGTTTGTTTTTTCAAAGAGACATAGTTCAGAAGATAATATGACATTGTATTTGCTATTATAATAGGCAGAGTATTGATTGCAATGCAATAAACTGTTTCTAATTATGGTGATTTAAAATATACTACATAACAATGAATGATGGAAGCAATACAGAGACTTTACAGGGCTATCACCATGCCTTTTTAACATATATGCAAACCGAATGATCAAAATGTGAAAACCAGTATAAATTTAAACAAAAGACAAATGGTCCACACAATTATCTATGCAGATGACATGTTCCTAACAATGGAATCAGAAGATGACTTACAGAGGGCAGCAAATGAACTTCATAAAATAGCTCTAACATATGGCATGAAAATGTCGACAATGGCATTAAATCATAATGGATGACATTACAGAGAACCAGAGGAGATGGCTTTCACATGTGCCAAGAATGCAAGCAGACAAATTTCCCTCAAGTAGTTATAAAGTATACACCTATAGCGCGAAGAAATATGTGAAGACTCAACAAAAGATGGATTGTTCAGGAACATTTGAGAGAATAATCACCAGATCTACTATCTTGTAACAGAAGCAGGCACTACTATCCTGCTGTTCTTGATAATGATAACTACTAAGAAAAAAAATTGGTATTTCAAGTAGTCCAATTTACAAATGTTTAGTAATCATAAGGGGTCAGTTTTTAGTGACCTTAACATTGCCAAAAATTATCAATAAAATCTTTTAAAACGGCCCTATAATAAAAATAAAAATATTTTTAAAAAAATAATAATAATTTTAGCAAAACCTCTTCAGATGAACAACTCAAGCTATTGGATACATTACTAAAGTAATCAAGGCTTCTTTCCTTTGTTCAAGTGAACTCAGCTTACAGACGTCTGATTTGGTCTGTTCTTTACAAGAAAATCTCTGCCTTTATTAATCGCAAAATCGGCCAAACAATGTCGCTGATATGCATCACAGGAACCTTCAATTACATAGTACAACGGCTGACATTACAATACATGAGCGAAGAATTCAAATAGGCTACTCAAGAATTATGTGGTGAACAGTTGTTGTATCTCATAAATATTGTTTGAAACAAGTACCATTAAAATGTTATTAAAATCTACAAAATAAGGAAAAAATGCATTAAAAGTTATGTAAAAAATTACTTATTAATCAAAATCAACGCAAAATCCAAAAAAATGACAAATAAAATCGGTCACTTCCTTTTGTCATAACATAAAATGAATTTCTATACTAAACAGCATTGTTCTAAAGTGAAAAGAAAAAAATACATTTCATTGAAATCCACCCCCTAGAGATCATGTACCATGAAGAGGTTAAACGGTTAAACAATTTTCTCTTGAAGGTCTCAAACCCACATTCTTAAACTGAGAAAGCTCAATTTTTTTTTGACTAGAAAATAGTCACTCATTTTCTGAACAAATTCATTGTTTTGATTAACAGTAACAATATTAAGCTAGTCATAATTTTTTGGATGGTAAATGCAAACAAAAGTATTTCAGCAAGAGTTTAATTTGCCTTCAAACTATACTTTGATTTTGTTCTTGAAAACGTATAAACAGGCAACTGTTTTGACCTTGAGGCTTTCTTTCTTTTGACTTTCTTCAAATGTTCATTTTTTCTCTAGAGGAGCAGAAACAGAGGAAGACAGATACCTTCATTTTTAAAGAACTTAACAGGCACCCCCACTCAAAATCACAGCTAAAGTGTGAAATGTGTCAAAATCCCATGCAAAATTCTGATTCATACATTAATTCAAAAATATTGTTTTAAGACTTTTTGTGGCAAAATTTAAACATTGTGAAAGGAAATGGCATCTTATGTAAAAGATGTCGATGCACTAATCCCCTTCATCCCCTTCCCAAAATAGCTCAGCATACTTATGTAACTATTGAGCAAAAAAATATATCTTACGAAACACACTTCTACTTTCTGTTTAAATGACTGAAAGAGAAAAGTACTGGTGGCTCATGCCAGTGATAGCATGTTTGTGCTTCAAATTAAAACTATTGCTATTTACCTACTTACTTAATGTAATATGCACATATGTTTTGTTTGTGTAATTACTCTTGTGAGTCATAATAGCATTACAATTTTGATGTACTGACTGTGAAACAGATATGAGAGAAAGGTCTGTGCGTATAATGCAGGCCCAACGGTTAGCTTCATGATGCTATCTAGGTATCACACTAGTAAATCACAGGTGGATGAAAAGATGAAAAATCAGAGGCCACCTTGCTTATTAGAAAAATTCAGTACAAAATGAGACGAAAATAAGCACTAACTTGATAATACTGGAAGTAGAAGTAAGAGAAGGGCGGCCCCTGTGCACTTGTAAGCTCCCCAAATCTCTAAGTCCAGTTTTTAGTTGGGCAAATCGTTCCTTTAAGCGCCTATGGAGTGGTTGAACTCCAGCAGGAGCAAGATCTCCATGAAGGACAAGTGCACTTTCCAATACTTGGAGCTGAAAACAATTATAACAACTAAAATAACAATAACAATGATTATGATTATAAGTTAATTAATGTCTGTAATTTAATTCATATTTAAAAAGAGACATTTTATAAAAACTTTTAAACGACCTAAACGCCCTAACCAAAAATGTCCAAATTCATTATGTATGCACTGAAATTGTTATACAACTAATGCATACACAATAATGCAATTATGAAAAGTTATGTTATTAAAGTAATATGCTATTGTTTTAGTTTTACTTGGTTATTACTTAAGTAAACTATTACGGAGCTATAATTTTATTTTCTATTTAATAAATAGAACATAACATTAACAGTTTAAAAAGTAAGTAAGATGTAAAGTAAGTATGTTAAGAGATATAAGTATAAATATTCCAATTTATTATTCTACGAAATATAATTGGTTAATATTTGGTTAATATAAAAGTTCTTGTTCCAAAACAACATTACTTTCTTTACTAACAATTGGATTTCAATTACATGTATATTTTACAAACTAACCTGCTCTAAAGTGAGGATTTTTAATCGAAGAACATGGTCAGTGAATTCAGGATTCTGCTTTGCAAAATCAGGTGTGAAAAATGCTGTCTGATATTTTGCAATTCCTCCCATAACATTAGCATCTATGATACCCTGCAACCTCATACTAAAAGGATTAATGTTGCGCTTTGGTTCTGCAGTGTACTGTGCAACTAGTTGTCGCAACTCCTTATTTACTCCAGCCATTGTCTCGCAGGCAAATTGAACTGGGGGCACCTCTTCTACACTACGTTCTATCACTTCAAACCATCGAAGAATACCAGGTAATGGACTACTAGTAATTAAAGTTGTACGTTCAATCCATAAACTCTGAAAAAGAAGAAAAACAACTTCCAGAAATCAACAGACCCAATGTTACAGTCATGTTTTATAATAACAAAATCTAAAGCTTTCAAAACATTCATTAGGATGTATCCACAATTATTCAATTCAAGTGTTATCAACACCATCATGTTTCTTTTAACATTCCCAATTATCATTTTTTACTCTAAAAGAATGGATGCCCATGGAAAGATTTTTGTGTAATTTTCTCATTCTCAAATTTGCATATTTCATAATTTTGAATCAATGAAGAGTAGATTTTCTGCGATGATAGTCTCTGATAGACAAAATGATAAACTCTTATCAGTATGTTTATCAATTTGACTTATCATAAGCACTATTGTTTCTAGAAGTTACTGAACTCAACAAACAATAGTGCTGCAACAAAGCATTTTTTTCAGGAAATTGACATTAGAATCATTTGTTCAAAACTTGATGGTGTTTTTGTTTGTTTTTTTCCCTTGGAATAACTCTGTATATTAATTTTGTCAAAAGAACTAAAATTGGATTTTTTTCAATACCTTAAATTCATTTTCTTTGTCAACAGGACCTTTATGAATAGGACGATCCAACTGAAATCTACGAACATCATTCACGATGTAGAAATTTGCAATTTTCTCTGGTATATCTGCTCCCACAGGAAAAAGTGGATTTTCTTCAGGGATAGGTTTCACATTACAAATCTGAATATCTGTTCTTATTTAAGGCAAAGAATAGACATTAAACAAAGTAAATTTTTGAATAAACTTAAAAGAACCAGGATTTATTATAATAAATTAATTTACACTACTACCTCTTATAATTTCTAAATTCACCTCTCTTTATGACAAACAGTGGGAATGTGTTTTATTCACTCATTCATATAACACCAAAAAATACTTTGAAAAACCATATAATGTCTATGATAATATTTGCTCACATTGATCAAAAGTCGGAGATACAGTCAAACATTTAAAATATTATTTTCAGAATTCTTACTTGTGTAATTAATGCATAAATAATATACAGCTTTCTTTCCTGGAATAATTTTTGTCTTTTACACTTCTATAATTCATGAAAGGATACATTGACCTTCAGAATTTAGTATTGTGTCATCAGGAGGGCAATTTTTCATTAGAATGTGAGCAGATGGAAATTCAGTCTGCAGTCTTTGTGTAAAAGCACCAATACGTTCATATTCCAATCCTCGATATACAAAGAGTTTATTCTGTAATCAATTAAATAAATAAATATGAAGATTCCTTGTGAAAAATTTGTATTTGAGACAAAAGAGGCTTCAAAATACATCAAAATCTTGTCCTATTTTTAATCAACTTACTCTGACAAAAAGTGGGAAACTGAGACCATAAAAACCAACACGAAAATACTCAGGTTCAGGCCTTAGTTGAGTTAATATGTTATCAAAGAACCGGGCCTGAGTACGCAGAATATCTGACAATTTGGCATAATCAAAAAGATGAAGCTCATAGAGTTCTGCTAATTCTTTACACAATGGTATTCCTTTTTCCCAGCACTGTAAAAATAATACAAATATTTTTATTAAAAAGTTTGTACTCACCAACATGTAATTTCAATTGTAAAATCTCTCTAAACAATGTAATACCTCTTTAAATTTACAAATGTTAGTAATGAAATTTAGAAAAAGTAAAAGATAGCTGAAAACTCAAAGTTGGCCTAGTAGTTCAATCAAATAGTATACGACAATTTTAATGACAAGTTTCTACCAGATAGATAATTTGATTATTATTAATACCATATATTTTCATACTTCAGATATGCAATAACTGAACATACCAAAGAAAATTCATTTTAGGACTTTGATAATACTAACTTTGCCTCTATCAAAATAATGAATAATCTGTCGATAGAGTTGTTCTTTACGTTGCCATTCTGGAAATCCAGGATACTGTGGATCAGACACCAAAGATCGACTAGTCCAGCTTAGCTGATCAGCATATAACTTCATTGTGAATCCTGCTTCAGTGTAATTCTCCGCAGGTAGATGTAAATCATGTAACTTATAAATGTATCTCAAGTACATTTCTTTACGATTTATTTCATTTTTGTAAAAATTCTGTAAGAGAAGGAAAAACATTAGTTATCCCTATAAATTAAATTATCTAAGCAAGATGCCAAGCCAGGGAAGCTAAAATTTCAAAAAGATTTATTAATTTATTCTTTCAGTTTAACATATGGGAGTGATAATTATTAGATATGTTTCATTGCTTGAGATTTCATTTTCACCTATTATAGAAACAGAAAACAGAGACTCTACAGTTCAGAATTGTATTCAGATATCTATAACATACCAGCAAATTAACTGTACATGACATTCGTTTATCCCTGTTTTCATCTCCTTGAATAACACTACGATAATCCAAAAGTCTTTCCAATAAGCGTGTAACAGAGCTAATAAATGCTGCTCCCGAATCCTTCCAAGCAGGGTCTTCTGACTGTACTCTATCCAGAAGCCTACAGAAGAAAAATAAATATGCATTACCAACACACTGAAAATTTATTTGTGGCAAGAAAGATATTGCCAAAAACAACTACAGCTAGCAATTACACAACATCCAAAATTTCAAATACATCTCCAAACATTCAAAACATAATCAGAACAAAATTACATGTAACCTACAGTAATGTATACGTGGTGGGTGAGGGGTATGAGAGAGAGAGGAAAGCTGCTATCCAAATGCAAGAACAACGCAATTTTATTCTATGACTCAAAGAAATCTGGACAAAAACACTGATTGAGATGCAGGTCACAGACTCAACAAGTACTCCTTAAGTTGCAGCAAGTGAATTGCAAGTTTGTTTCTACATAATAAAAGGAAGACAGTGTCACCATGTGTTGCGAAGAAAATAATTAATTCATAATATATCGGGGGGGGGGGGATATTTACACAATTTTCTTAAAAAGAAAGACACACACACAAATCTACCAACATGAATTACAGGTAACTTCATAATGAATATGCAAATCCTCCCAAAAAATACTGTCCTTACCATGCATAGTTCAAGCTTGACAACATAATAGAAAGCAAAATGTTGCCAATTCTATACAGAGACTGTATAACAAAATCAACAGTTATGATAAAGGGTAGTAATTTACATGCATATAATGTTTTTCCTGTACTCACACAGCACTCAAGTGTTCCCTTGGGGTTGAATCATAAACAAACAACATATAAATTAGATTTCATCATTTTATTTGCTCAAAAATTATTGATTTTAAGGTATTCAGATGCATACTTACATGGTATTGAATAATTGACGATATTCATCATCTCCTTTGTTTTCACTTATAAGAATATCTAATTTATCTATTAATTCTGATTCGACCTGTAAGGTAACAAAAAGTTATGATATGTAACAAACACATATGTAGCTAGACAATTGGCACAAAACAAAGACTGGAGATAACATTTTTATAATAAAACCAATTCAATTCAATTTCTATACCTCCAAAATATTTTAATTTAATGCAAAATACCATATCAGATTCATATTGTAGAGTAATTAAGCAAAATAAAAACACATAATTTAACAATTCAATATGCAAAATTTATTAGAATATCAATACGGGCCAGCGGTGCATGAACGTGGGAGCTTCAGCCCTGATGGGACAGTGTTAAATTGTTATTGTAAATATTGTTATTGTAATTACTGTTAAATTATTGAATTTTAGGTATAATGACTGTCAAAAGTATTTTTAATAATTCTGTTTCTAAAATCTTCCAAAGTAAATAATTTTGATATAAATACGCATTTTTGTTCCTTTTATCTGAAACTTTTTTAATTTCTTGATATGGACAATATTTTTCAATAGTAAAGAAAATTGTTCAATACGTTGAATACATTACATAATTATAAATTAACTTTTTTTTTTAATTCAGCATAAATGCAATTTTTTTTATTACAAAGCATAAAGACATTTGGGCACAATATCAACAGACTTTCAACAGGAAAATCCCAGTTGCGTTTCAGATACAAAGTAAATTGAATGATTAATTCAAACATTCATTAGTGTTTACAAGTGCATTTACTGCTATGGTCTTTTGTCTCGTATGTGTTATGCATGTCACATTCCAAGAGAGAGTGGAATTCCTTCTTTCCTGGAATGAGAGATTTGGTGCTGACTTGTAGGGTGGCATGTGGGTTTCCCCCTCCAGGTCTCTCTCCTCAGTGGAGCTCTGCCCCCAGTAATAACAACCTTCAAGCACCCAACTGATCTGGCAAGATCTGTGGTAGTTCAGTGTATTTAAAGAGTTGTGTTGAAGGGGAGAGGTTTCTAGCATTTGCCTGATATTGATTGAAGAAACCACAGAAAACTCTCAATTGTCAGCCAGCCACTCGAATTCTCCTCCAGAGAGTGGATGAACTTGTCCTAGCTGCTAAGCCAATTGCTGAAAATTTTAACACCATCGGGTCTTGAACCGAAGGAGCTCCTGGTCAAAGTCACTGCAATGGCCTTAAGCCAATTCAATCAGTGATAAGGACTCGAAATAGTCATATAGAATAGTTTACATGTATTGTAAAATCCTCCAGGATGGAAAAGTCTTGCAAAACAAAATGTATGTACAAAACATCTTAATAATTGTTGGAATAAATTATTGTTTCTCACTTGTTTAAAGTTGCCATGAGCTTGTTGTTCACACTGCATCATATCAAAAAATATTCCAAGAGTTGCTTTACGTAATTCAGCTTCAGGTACAAGAGTTACTTCCAAGAAAGGGCCGACCATTGAAGGGACAAAATTTATTTTGTGTTCTCCTGAAAAAGCAATATTTTGTAAAATAGCCAAGAAATTCTGCATGTAGGTTATTAATAAGTAGAGTTACCAGAGTCCTAGTTGACATAATCAGCATCGTTGCTTCAAAAAATCAGGACATTACACAAAAAGACAGAACATTTTTTTATATCAACATACAGGTATAAAGTTCTTTTACTACTACAGAAGAGACATCAATGTATATGTTAATACTGCACTTTACGGTAAATTATATATCTATGACAGCTTCATTCTTAAGGATTCTTTATATCTCTGTTTCAATATTCCCTGTACAAATGTAAGTCTAAGACATACTTATAATTCTTGTGGTTAGAAACACTGAGTTTCATTTCTAACATCACATTTGTTTCTAAAGCAATTTTATTTTTTGTATATTTTATATTAAAAAAATATTAAAACAATATTAAAACAACATGGTAAATAGATGATACACATTAAAAAATCAGGACTTTTGAAAACAAATCAGGAGAGTTAGCAAAAAGCCCAAAAATCAGGACATTTGGTAACCCTATTAATAAGCAAAATATACTCATACTGACCCAGATTAGACCACATGGACAATATTTGGAAGCCCATTAAAACCCTCATGTCACCATACTTTTCAAGAATTTTGTCTCTTTTCACTTCACTAAACTTCTCCAATTGTAAAGAGGGTTGAGTTAAGAACGTTACAGCAAGATTGAAGTAGTTGCTCCACAACTATGAAGAAAAAAAAAAAAAGAAAAAAAATAATAAGAGCAGGGAAACCATATTCATTATCATAATGATTGACTTAAGAGAGTAGTGACTTGACACTGAGATGGTAAAACATATTCACAAATTTTTAAAATTTCATTAACAAATCTTGTAAGCAGCTATAACTATGTTTTACTCCCTTTATATAACATGCAAGACATTTAATGTATGTAAGAGCAAATAAACTGCAGTAGTTGGTTTACCTGATGATCAAAATAGCAGCGACTATCAAGAAAAGAAAGAACTAGAGGTTGTGCTAACTCCTGCAATGCTGTGAGCATTACATTATTGGCCACCATTCGAATTACTAGCCAATCTGATGGAAAAACATCTTGTTTTATAAGATCACGAAACACCAGAAAAACTCTCAGAAGAAAATCCTTCACAGGTTTTCGATCTCCTAATTCTTCCCAAAGTCTCTTGTAATGAAATTCATCAAGCAATTGCAGTAAACCTAGGAGGCAGGCAACAAGTGGACCCTGAAAAATACATCAGATAAGTGTCATTAAATTAAATAATATTTAATAGAACTTCAGAATGCAATTTTCAAAAAGCTAATTGTACTCGAAATGTAGTTCATCAGGATGTCAAAGTTTAAAAAATATTACCATTATCATGTTTTTTATGTAAAGGGCATGATATTATTATATTGTCTGTGTCTCTTACCATTCCAATGACAGCGGACCAAAGTTTAGTGAAAAAAAGTCAATTCTCCATTCAAATCCGCTTTAATTAAGTGCCACTAGTTAATCAGTGCATTACCCAGTTGAAGGAAGAGAAATATTTTGTAGGTTTAACTGATTTAGAGCTTTATCCCTAAATTAAACATACCCATAGACTGAACATTTTTAGGCAGGGATTCGCAACTATTTTCCATTGATAATGTTACCCAATTTAACAAATATTTAAATACAACAGATATCAAATTCACAAGGAAGGTTTTTGTTTTTTTTTTTGGTTATATCTCTTAAAAGTGTTAATTTACATAAATGATGATATTATCTATTACAATTAAATGCAAGAGAAATTAACTTAAGAATGTCGCTGTTCAGTGCATCAAGCAAAATCAAGCAAAACTCCTGAAAATTACAACTGTTATTTCAGAAGAAGTCAAAGGAAGAGATCCTTTTGCCAGACAGTTCCTGATTAAAAATTTTATCTATGTACATTGAAGAATTTATAATTATTGCAATTTACAACAAAACACACTTTTCCAAAAGGTGAATTTCATAAAATAGTTAGTAAGTTCAAAGAGTTTCCAAAATACTTCTAATTCACCACACACTGTATGAAAACTTGTCTTAATGTCTTAATCTAATGCATTCTCACACTGTTTTCAGTAATTAACACTTCGACTATTTCTCTATTACTTCCATGGACTCTGTTTGGGGTCTGATTCGACCCCACACACTTTATCCACTAGTTTACCTGTATTTCATGCACAGTTGCTATTTGAAATTATTAATTAAGCAAATTATGCTATTTATTTGCTTTATTTACAACATTGTACTAAAGAAACAAAGAATAATATTTCCAGAAAAAACATTCTTGCGTATCTTCATAACTATACATACATAGGTGTCTACGATACCAGCATGAGAATGTCTGATACGAGAGGTCTACTAACTCGCCAAACAAATATTCCAGATGTCATTCAGAAACAACAACATAATATTATAAAACAGAAATGGACCCGTTGTTAGAATTTTTCTTATAATTTAGATGTGTAACATGGAATCTATTTTGGAGCATTTGTAATCCCAACCACATAATAATCAAATTACTTTAAAGAAGAAAACAAAGAACTGAAAAGTTTACAAGACATGTAAAACTGGATATAAATAACATAACTAAAAAACACGTTCATGTGAATAATGTTCAGTGTTGCAAAACATTATTTGCACCTGGAGTCTGAAAAGATCCCTAGAAGAGTCTAAGGGATAAAGAAGGGTTCTCAAATTCAAATTAAAGCATACAAACTTGACTCCTCCAAAAGGAAACTTACAAGGACAGCTGCAGAGCGATCTATAATGATGAGCACAGTCTGGATGAGCATATCTAAAGTGCTGAGGCACAGAATCTCTACATCATGGTGTAAACAATTATTAACCTGTAAAAAGAAAATTAATTATCAATCTTGTTCCAAACACACTCAAAAATTAACATAAAGAAAAAAATAAATGAACTAGCCTTATCTTGAGATTGAGCACCACGTTGTTTGAAAAGAAATCCTAGAACTTCACCTAAAATTTCAGTGCAAAGCCGCAACTCATCTCTGTGAGCCAAATGGAGTCGAAGATGCTTGCAACTAGTGGTCAACAACAAGTTGCGCGATTCTGCAAATCCATCTGTATCTGCCAAATAGATTTTTGGTTCTAATAAAACATTGACACACGTGTATTTTCTTAAAAGATCTTAGACTATGTTCACTGTACTATATATATTATCTTTAGAATTAAATATATGCTACTTATGTTAGAATTGATCACAACTGACCATCATCAGTAAACAGCGAACTAGTCACCATATTTCTAATGGCAGTGAGTTTTGCTTGTGTGAGTTGTGGTGGCAGATCACGAACAGGCAAACTTTCGAGCATGGCTGTGGCTAATTTAGTGACCTCCAAAATGGGAAGGACAAGAAGTAATTGCTCATACACAGCACTTATACTGTGTAATAATGCCACCTATAAACAGAAAATTCACAAGGTTCCATATTAATCACATTTATTAGTCACAGAACAATTAAATTGTAATCTTCTGATTAAGATTTCATGCATACACAATCACCTGAGTTGGAAGGATAACATCATTGGAAGAACCCAACATTTTATGCAATGCATAGAAGACATTGTAAAGGTCTTTTCGGAAGCTGTCTTCATACTGTCCACCAGTAGCTCGAGCAAATAATAACCGTGACTGAATAATGAATTTGAAAATGTATTCCAAAGAACGAAAACATTTTTGGATAGGTTCCTGTTTTTCAGTTGAATTGACCCAATCAGCACAATGTTGAACGCTGCTTAAAAGACCTCTGGAAAAAAAATTTTGAACTTTGAAATATGAATCATATTCACATGATCACATAGTTTCATTCCTGTGTTCACTATTGGTTTTATTATCTCAGTTCAAACCATTCAATAATGGCTCTAATAAACCCAAATTTCATATACCTATGATGATGTACTATTATTAAAAGCAGTGAAATGCAGACAAATCTATAACATAATGAGTATCAAACAAGTCACACGTTTCCTAGAAGAAAACTATACATATAATTGGTTTCTTTATAACATGTACATATTAATATAGGAAATATTTCTGGGACATTTCAGATATAAGTAGGATAGGTGACATACAACATACTTATAAACAAGTGCTGCTGCAAAGTGGCCACTGATGTATGCATCCATGACAGGCTTAAAATGTTCAAATTTGCTATCTTCTAGGAGACTAAATATGCTCACCTAAAATTAAAGAGAAATTGATATTACATTACTGATAAAAACATTATCAGAGAGACAATAGATTGAAACTTACCAACACGTGGAATACAAGCCCTGAATGTGAGGTAGAATTACCATCTTCTGTTGAAAACATAGAAAACAATGCATCCAGAACATCCTGTAAAAATTTCACCAGCTCTTCACCATCTAAGCGGCGAACTCTACCAAGAGCTTCTTGAATTCGATCAGGATGTTCTCGCCATTGCAGCAAAGACAGTAGATCCACTGAAAAAAAGAGGTCACATATACACATACAAAATTACATAGGACACATGTTATTTAAATAAAAAATATTTAAGAGAATGCCTAGTCACAAAGGAAGCTAGATCACTTCCACTATTTTTCTAAAACTGAAACTGCTTTCAACGGAAATAAGGCAAGAAAGGGGTTCTTTTCCCTACTAAGACTCACTCTGGTTGTATTAAAGAAACAATCTGAGAAAAATATCAGAGAAAGCTGATGGATGAAAAATAGGCCTACATATGCATGCAGGTTCCCATCAGAATTCACAGATATTTAAACAATGGGATTTCTGAAATTGCAGAGAAATTCTTATATGTATTATTTTTATATGCAAACTTTTAACTTCGTGAAGTGAAAATAATAAATGGGCTCATGAAGGAAATCCTTTGAGAGAACATTTATTTAAATGTAATAAAAATCTTATCAGCTCAAGGGATGAAAATAAAATTTATGAATTTACTCCCAAAGTAAACATAAGGAATCACAGAAAAGAAAAACCCACCAAAAGTCTAAGGGAGAGTGCAGAGGCATTCAATTTTGCTAGTCATATCAGTCTTCAAGTATTCTAATGACCTGTGGTTGTTTCTAGCTGTTACTTCAAATACAGGCAATAAAAGGAACTCGTTTAAATGACTGATGCAAACACTTAGTGAAAGATGAAGTGTCATATGTGTCAGACTGCAATTGAAGTAAGCAGTGCATTTACCCTAGATCTATGATTTTTTTGTGACAAAATTCCTGAAGTAAATTCTTTATACATCAAGTACTTAAGCATTATGCTTTCAAATATTATTTTTAAGATTTATTTGAATTTGGATTGTACCAAAATATACTGCTCTCAAGCACAAATTGATCAACTGTTGATACAGATGGATGATAGATGAAAATTTATAAGACCTTTCTATTATTTGGAGCACTTAAGGACTCTTTTCAATTTTTTACTAAAAATGTAGAAGGAATGTGTTTTGAAAGCGATGAACAAAAAAGCAATATCAAGGATATGGCCCTAATTTGTCCTCTATTTCATACCTAAACAACAGAAAAATAATGGAGCTGAGATAAGTCCCAAGGACATTCTTCTCGACAAGTGTATTTTTATAGTACATCTAATTAATATTAATTTTTTTTATTCCCTAAAATGCAGTTTATTTCCTGCCTTTCAGTTTGCAATTTTGTCTTTTAAATTTTTCTGATGAAAATATAAAGGAAAAAGAATAAATTACAATAAAGAAGACTTACAATAAATACAAGTAGACAACAATAACATTTTGTGATATTCAAATTATGTAATAAAGAAAAGATGAACAATATATGGATATTTCTTTCTTTAACACACATTTAAGAAGTTTAATTTTCATGAGTTCATTTCTCACCCTTGACCTACTGAGAGTTCAGAAAGAAATCATAGATTACAGTTTTACCATTTTGAGTAAGTTTTGTAGAACAGAGAAGGGTGTGGACCCAGACAGTCTCCTTGGAACTTCGAGCAAATATAGACGATGAAGTAGTTGAAGCTGCTGAATCATTTGAACTGGATGGCAACTGCAGGTACAGTGAGGGATCTAGACGAGATTTTTCTTCACATTTGTACATGTATAGTTCGTGAGGACCATCATGGACGGTGGCACCACCAGCTTCCATCAAACGACAAAAGGAAAATCCAAAAAGTCGCTTGTTATCTGTTTTCTCTCGAGCTGAAAAATTTGTATGTCATTATTATTATTACTGAAACAAAAATTATTATTACACATTACATATTACAAAGGGATGTTTCTTGACACAAAAAAGGCAACAGAAAGTTACAATTTGTGCAATATTGCATAAAATATAAAAAATTAAGGCAATATCTACTTTAAACAAATGTAACATTAACTGAAAAATGTGAAATTATTTTAAATCTTAATATATTGAAGCTACTAGTCTGCAAAGGCATTTGGAAAAAAGATTTGAGTACAAAAGATGAACAAATTTTTAATATGCTCTTTTATCACAAGTAAATAATTTGTTTAACAAAATTTAAAGAAATTATTTTTTTTTCTTCAAAATATAAATTTTTCATCTTTGCTGTATTTTCATTCCAATTTTTTTAAAACAAAAAACAAATAATTTTTTGTTGTTGTTTTTTTTTTTTTTGAGAAATTTTGATGAGAAAAAAGTAATTTTTCACAATAATTTTATTATTAATGAAAGTTTTCTAAACTTTCCTGAGTCATTTGGTATGTGCCAAGCAATCATTCAAAATTTTATTAAAATGTTTTCCATGGCCTGCCGAACTCCAGTTAACTTATTTTTATTTTCCTTAATTTCAACTCTAGAAAACTAAGGACCATTTACATTATGAAATAGTTGAAATTTAAGAAAACAAAACTTCCATTACTGTTTTGAAAGATAGAATATACATATCGAAGCATATCATAAACACAATAGTCAACAAAACTTTTTGATCTATATTTTAAAAATAAAATACATCAAGAAGACTGAAATGAAATACGTACTAGAGCAATGTCGATATTCAATACGAATATGAGAGCCATAGAATTTGTCAATTGGCACTGCCAACCGTATTGTCTCCGACCACCATGGTGAATTATGATGATATATAATCATTGACTGATATAAGTTACTTCCGTCCATTCCAGAGGCACCCCATAAGCAATTCTACATAAAAAATGCACATTATTGAAGCCACATAAGAAAGTAAAAATCCCATTTAACAGAAAAATATTGATTATTTCATTAGTATTTTACATACTTCAAGGATTTTGCCTTCAGCATCTAATACAACAATAGTTGCTTCTATGTTCTTTCCAGTTGATTTTCCTCCTCTTTCAAATTCCCCTCTCTCAAGCGTAAGATAAAGATCATTACGTACATCACCAGGCATTATCACATCAGAGAAACCAAGTTTTTGAGTAAGAGCAACATTCTTAAAGAGAAGAGGGTTTTCTTCCCGCACCTGTGATAATTCTCCATGCAGCATTTTCAAAGAAATGCCAATTCCTGAAACCATGTTTCAAAACTCTAATCAGATTTTTAATGCAATAAACTTAATCTAACATATTCACATAGAGTACAGAATTAGAGTACCAAAGAGCTCTTATAAAATGATTTGAAACAAACATAATAATAGTTCTAAAATGTTTCTGATAACAAACTCGATTTTTTTTTTTTTTTTTAACTTCATTATTGTTGTTTCAGTCACTGAATAAAAGTTTTAAGGGAAGAACAATAGCTAATTGTATTGAAAAAATACATTCAACACATTTATTTTCAAAGAAAGGAAGGAAAATACCACAGTCCATCATATCAAGGAACCTCTAACTCTATCACTAAGAGAAAGGTAAATAGAAAGTGTTATAGAGGCTTAGTAACAAAGTATTAATGAAGATAATCTCAAATAAAATCCTCATGAGGAGTCATCGAATTAATGTCAAGTACTGTCATAGGTGGGATTTCCCAAAGGATCTGGGCTGGACTGAAAATTATTCATTGGGACATCGGCATGGAATGAACAAATAGTGATGCAAACAATGATGGAATTAATGGCAGGAGAAATTCTAAAAATTCTTGCCATAAACTCATTTTGTCCAGCAAATTTCACAAGCAAAGGCTATGATTCTAATAAATCTTTCAAGGGCTCTGCAGAGAAGTTACGGAAAGAAAAATTAGTTTTTTATAATAAAATAAAAATGTGTATAAATTGGGAATAAAATCATCTTATTACAGTTACTTCTGACAAGACACCTTCTTAATACGAAAAATTGACTCCAAACTTCAAAAAAATAAGATAAAGAAAAGAAAGAAAACTGAACAATATTTTCACTTTGTTCAATTTTGTATGGTAAGAGTCAAATCCAATTTCATCAGAAAAGGACTTCAATTGAAAAGATCTTAAACTCTTTAAATAACAGACCACACAGTTCTCATTTAATTTCATTGTTGGTTGCATATTTACAAAATTCATATAAGGTGTCTTACAGTTCCTGACCTCAAAATTAAATAAATGAATATGTAAAAATTTCAGATTTTTAACATGCAATTGTTTAGTATGATGCAATGTCTTAAGAAACAGTACCAAAATTTCATACGAGAGGCAATGGTCTTCAACGGGACGTAATCTCCATTAGTTGAAATTCATTGATTCTAGGTCCTGATGAAAATAGCTACCAAACATAAATGTACTGTCTCTCCAAGACCATGATCATATTCCACTCATTGAAATCTTTTACCTCTTTAGTATTCTAACACTAAAGAAAGGATTAGAAATAATTGAGGCAGGGAGAACCAAAACCCACTGACTCCACTTATTGATTGTTTAATCCAATTTTTAACTTTAAACTTTAACTACTATTTAATGCATTACTTAAATTTTGGAGTGTTTTTGTAGAAAAAAAATTAAAGAAAAAATATACAGTTGTTTTTAAGAATTTCTTTAATAAATTCCATTTAATTCAAGCTTAAATGACCTGAAAACTACTCCTATGACCTGAAAATTATTTTCAAAACATTGTACATGACCTTTTAGGAATATTTAAGGAATAAATCTACCATTTGAACAGGATGTGAGATAACATTTGTGGTCACTGAGAAAGATGACGTTTGTTTTTCTCTCTTGTAAAATTTGGTTGTAGGAGCCTAGAGAGTTTTTCCCTGATTCAACAGATGATTTTGTCAATTTTGATTAGCTTCTCCTACATATTTCATCCAAAAATACAATACATTCGTACCGTTTTAATCTTATGTACTTATTATTATTAACAAACCAGAATTATGATAATTATATGGATAATATATTATTTTTAAATATACACACATACTCCTGATACATCAATACAGATATTGATCTATACACTTGGCATAGAATGTATTTATGATTATATATAAAAAATGCCTAAGTAAAATTCAATAAAATCATATTCGTAATGGATATTCAATTAATATTTATTAATGAAACATCTTCCTTTCACAACCTTATTTCTATTTGGACTATACAGCTAATTATACCTTGAATGAATAAAAAGAAAAAGAATTTACCATAATTAGGTTGACCTCCAAGAGGGCTGTATTTGGAACTCTGCTTTTTAATAAGAAGTTCGTGAAGCTGGTGAAAGTCTTTTTCATCTGTGGTAAATACTTTACAAGAAAATTCCTTCTCATCTGGGGAATCTTTACTTAAGAGAACCTCACTAACAGGGAGTACAGCACAACCATGTGGCCTCTTAAAGACGGATGATGGACTTGATGACGATTTTTTAACAGAATCAGAATACAACATTCGTCCCACTCTTAAAACATGAGCTACTAAATAAATATCTCTACTAAGGTCAGCATTTCCTAAATCCTGAAATAATAAACACACAATAAAAACATAAAACATCTTCCAGCAGTGGAAATTATACTATCAATTTCAACATATTTAAGAGCAAAAACAATACTAACAGTAAAAATTGTACAATTACTATGCAACTTCTCCACATAATTTGAAAATCCCTCTCTTGAAATCCGAACCAGGAATCTTTCACTGAAAGGAAAAGATCAAAACAAATATTACTGAAAATGTTCATTTTGCAGAACATGATTATTGAGTATGATTGATTTAATGTCCAAAACATGTTTTTAACATTACAATTCTCAAGCATCTTTTCAACCAAAATCAGTATTATTTTAAATATTAAAAATAATAATTTTCACAATAAACACTTTCCATAATACTACTCTTAAAATCCTAAACTTCTTTTTCACCACAAGTGTTACAAATTTATGAACTGCTTATATGAAAAATTGTATGGAAAAATAAAAGAAACAGATAAGAATATCAGTATATTTGTTTTATTGATTATTACGAGACTAGGCACTTCATAAAAAGAATGGTACATCTCATACATGATGTGAAGGAGAAAACAAAATGTTTAATACAGGAATAAAAGAAGTGATCTCACACCATTTCAAAATGGGGGGAAAAATCAAGTTCACTACATCATACTCCACTAACAAAAGAAATTAAACAAAAGCATCTCTGATTATACATTAAAGAATGAGAAACTGTTTAGTCACAAATGGGAAGAACATATGAGAGGTGGGACTCCAACTTCCAAAACAGGTGTGTTTTTTTAATTAATTTCTTTATTGTTTTTTTCTCTCTTCCTTTTGTCTTCACTCTTAGGAAACAAAAGTACGAAAATTAAGTATTCTATTCCTAGATTTTTTATTAGGATAAAAATATCCTAAAAACAAAACAAGTACTAAAAAATACACTAGATGATTCATGTGAACATTATTTCCTTTTAAAAAAAATACCCATAAAGTTATTAGAAGGTTGCTTGCCCTCTGCAATAACCTATTGAATATCAAATAGCTGCTGTGAATTACAATTTAAAAATTATAATTAAATTATAAACAAACAAACAAAAAATACCAAATGCAGTTTATTATTTAAGCAAAATCGGCCTAACTAATTTCTCTACTGATAATATTTACATCAATCTCCAATTCATATTTCTTTCAAGTGAACAGAATGTGTTTTAAATTGTTTTTAGGATATTTAATACTCAACATATAATTCGATTTTTAAATCCTACAATGTCTAATAAAAAATGTCACTTTAAATTCAGATTGATAACAGTGAAAATCTTATTCCTTTAACAACCATAGGTATTGTTACATTACTAATTAAAGAGAAAAACTGTGTTGTTTAGTTTAAAAAACAACAAAAAATGTTGGATGTGCAAACCTTATATATTTTGCCCTCTTGGTATCATACAAAGAAAAATATATTTCTGTATCTTCTCCAACATGGTAACCAAAGTCTCGCATGCAAAAATAGAGATGATGGGTCAATATTTTCCGAGCTTCTTTCCGACGCATTGTTCCTCGAGACTGAAAAAATAAAAAAAATAAAAAATTGAGCTAGAAACAAATGAAAACAGTGTGTATTCATCATGAACGATCAATAATACTTACTGAAGCTCCTTGAGAATTTTCTGCACTCTGAGCATGCTGAAAAGATTTTAAAAATGACAATATTACTAAAAGAAAATAATTTATAAAACCATTTCATTATGAAGATGTTCAATATCAAAGTGTGAAATCTCATATTGCAACCACGTGTTTCTATAAAAAATAAAGTACTTATTATCCTCTCTTAATAATTATGCATTAGGCATAGGCTAACATCATGCCACATTATTTCAATTGAACTATGAATGTAAATAAAACTTACCACTTGGTATAATTCAACAAAACTAATCATGTCAGGATCCACCATTTGCGCTCCCTGCCGAGGTACCAGATCCAAACCCAATTTTCTGGAACAAGATGGTCTCACATTAACAATTTGTACAAAAATTTGATAATTGGTAGAGAGGACCCCATGACAAGGGGCAGATCTACAAAGTATAACAAAGAGTACTAACTAATTTAATTTCTAACCCTTTCCATAGTCTTTTAAAATAATTTTTTTGACCTTTTTTTTATTTAAGGTCATATCAACTACCAGGTTATTAGTGAGTGCATTACTGATTAACCTTAGGGCATCCGCAAAAGTAGCCAATCTGTTATCTTGAACATTTTATTAGCTTAAAAAGATTAATAATGGGAATACTCCTTTGGACTCCTCCAGATGCAATCCAATCAATAACTGTTTTGTAAACATTGAGTAAAATTTCAAAAGGGGAAGGCTTGACAAGGGGTGGGTGGCTCCTATATCTCCCCCTGATTTGCCTACTGATCATGTCCCCCCTATACAAACTTTGTTGCAAAAATTGTATATTATTTTGCAAAAGCAAAACCAAAATGCACATGTAATTTTAGTTGTAGAAAGACTCCAACATTTTGAACTTTTGCAATTTTTGAAAAATTGGGGATTAACGAAATGAGACCTTTACCATACTTTTAAACGTTTTTCACACTACCCAACAACAAACTTTAATCAAAAAAACAATGGAGCCATTTCCTTGAAAATTTGGAAAAAGTCACAGGGCCTTCATGAACAGTACATTAAAATATCAGTTTCAAATTCAAGGGGACGCAACACCAGTCAGATCGATTACGGAATATCAATTTTGGAGAAAATCGGCTGAACGGTTTAGCCGCTAGCGTTGTTAACAGACATTCAGTAAGTGACGGACGGACGGACGGACGGACGGACGGACGGACGGACGGACGGACGGACGGACGGAGGACGGACGGACGGACGGACGGACGGACGGACGGACGGACGGACGGACGGACGGACGGATGGGCAGAGGGGCAAACAGGCAGTCGGGCAGACGGACAGCCGGGCGGGCGGACGGGCGGGCGGGCGGACGGACGGACGGACGGACGGAGAGACAGACAGACGGGTGAGAGGACGGGCGGGTGGGCCGAGTTTCTTAAGCCAATCTACAATATGATACTTTTCTCGACGTTTTTTAACATTTTTGGAGAGAATTCCCGTCCCTTAGAGTAGGTTGACATAAACGCATGTTAGTATGAGCTTTCCCTTTAAAAATAATGTCGTAAAAGGGACAATATTTTGGCGATTGAGATTTTGCGGAAAGAGAAATCATTTGGTTTCTTCTAATACAATTACTGAGAGTTGGCTCTTCTGAGTTATCTAGCTATTGCAAATTTCGAGTTTCATTCGCCAGGGGAGTGACGGTAGTTTGCCAAGGTTTACAAAGATAGTCGAAAACTGGCATACAATACATTTCTAAGTTTCCAGTGAAACATGTGAGGGTATATGCGATGAACATTTAGAGAATACAGGAGAAACATGGGGGGGGGGGGATGTCGAGAAATACGTGGAAGAACAAGCAGGAGTGCCGTGCGGCGTGCAGAACCCGCGGGAAAGAAGCTGGGGAGCATGCGGAGGAACAAGTGCACCCCGAGCCATGTTTGTTCAGTCTTCTTTTACAATTATTCTACAATATTAGCACTTGTAACCGCCTATCAAATTCTTGGAGGATTCGCTCTTCTGGGTACTCACACTCAATAACGGTGGTCAGAGACAAGCGAAATCTCGAAATCTTATTAAATTAAAATTGACTATTTGGCAGAAGCGTTCCAAAGATTTTTCTCGGGGGGGGGGGATAGTGTAATTGCAGACTTGATGTTCTTAACGTTATTTTTTCATTTACCATTTACGCTGGATGCACTGCGTATTTTCATTTGACTTTCAATTAATACTTATAACGTACACACCTGATATAGTATAAAATGACTTTAATTAGTATAGAAAATTAGTGAAAGATCTACTCTTTAATACGACCCCTCGAGTTCACCACTATTTGATTTTGTATATAATGTAACCTCGATTAACGTTTAGCAACATTAGAATATTTACTCATGCGCAGTATCAAGTCTGTAATGCGGCCACGCACAGTTTAGGGACAGGGGTTGTTACACGTTCAGTTGCAGTATTCATCCATTTTTACCTTTAAAGCAATGATGATATACAATAAAAAGCGAGAAATGTTGACATGGTGTCAACTAGTGAAAATTAATTTTTAAAATAATATCTATAGGAACAATGTATGTTTTTTAAGAACCCAAGATCAAATGTGTATAAAATTAAATATGTCACTAAAAAGCGAATATGGCCTTACTGTTTTAAAGTGAATCTTCTCGACTATCGTTTCTTTTAAAAGAAATATACTATTTATTAAAGATGTCAAAAACAGTTTTTATTACTATTACATGAAGGGAAACTAAAAGGATGATCAATCGTTTATGTACAGTTTACGTATCGTTATTTCCTGTATGATCGCTGTCATTTTACTTCCAATGGATTCTAATTATTTCATCACTAGCTGATTAAAACTTATGAAATATTAAACTTGCTATTATCCAACACTAAGAGGTACGTAGCTTAAAGCTTGCCATATAGGCTGAGATACGAAGATTCAAAAATAGTACAAAACTAAAAACAAGAAAAAGAAAACTATGAAAACATTAACGTTTTGTAAATGATTACGATGAAAAGGGAAGAGAAAAGACGAAGTGGAAGGAAGAAGGGTAAAAAGAAAACGAGACGGAAATAAATTAAGAAGAGAGAGAGAGAGAGAGAGAGAGAGAGAGAGAGAGAGAGAGAGAGAGAGAGAACGAAAGAGACTGCAACAGAATGGAGAAGAAAGGAGACAAGAAAAACGCAGGGAAGGCGAGGGAAGAGGCGGTGGATTGATTGATTGATTGATTGATTGATTCAACAAGCGTGGCGTCAACAAGCAAGATCATTAGTACTGTAAGTTTAGCGTATTACTTCTCCCTCTGGAGGTAGCGACGATCTTCCCACGGTCGATGGCGAGATCCGGAGTCGACCTACCGTCGGCTAGCGTGGTTTTCCGCCACCAGGTATCTCCCATCAACGGGGCACCGCCCACCCGGGATAAGCTCTACGCTCGCGACCGGCCTCCCGGTACGTCTGTTAGTGTGGTGCATGTTAGAGTAAGCGAGTGTATGTAAGGGATGAGGATAGGACAAGGAAGAGGAGTTTGTTAGGATACTGCCATTAACCGGAGAATCCACAGCAAGCTACCGATCGAAGCAGCCGGCCGTTACAATTCCTCTGCAGGAGCGACCTGGCTGAATTCGACCTAGCTGGAGCCCTAGGAGCGCCCGGCCAGAGGCCCTGAGCCGGAGGAGGCCGCGCCCGCCCGGGAGGCGACGGCGACGAAGAGTTCCCTGACTCTTCCCCCACTCCACTCCGCCGGCGCGGGCGGCGCGGGCGCGGGGTCGCGGTCGCCCAGCGCCCTGCGGCTCCGAGATGCGATCCAGCGCCGCGGGGCCGTCGCCAGCCAGCTTCAGCCGGAAAGCCAGCCGAGCGGAGCCGCAGGTGCACGTGCGCAGTGCGCGCGCGCGTGCCCCGGCCCTCCGCCCGCCCCCCTCCGCCCACCGCCACCGCACGAAAAGGTTGGTCACAAGCACCCGCTCCGACCGCGTGGCCTCCAGCTCACGTGGTGGCACCCACGTTTTCTTTTTTGCGGGTTCTTTACCGGGTGCTGGCGCGACATCTCCAAGTAAGAACTCTGAGTAAAGGCGGCTCCACACATTCGGCATTCGTCGAGCAGCGAGCTACTGCTCGACCGATCGAGATCAGCTGATGTGTTCGGCGAATGTTCGCGTCCCTCGATAAGTCCTAAAGGCCGACACGCGGTGGGTAGGGCGAATAACGAATGTTCGGCGAATCGCAAACAACCTGCCCAGACCACTCGGGATTCGGCGAGCAGTTGCTCGCTACTCGCCGAATAACGAATGCGTGGAGCCGCCTTAAGGCGTCATTAGTTCCACAGCCTTTGTCAGCTTTTTGGGTATCGACCGACAACATCCCTTCTCTCATCCTCGCTTCCCAAGGAATCCTCTTTCACTTGTCGTTACCCGAGAAGACATAGCCCGACTGCATCTCGTTTCGTTCATACAGTGTTTCGGAAGGAGGAAACATTTTAGAAGTTTGCATTCAGAAGTAGCGCAAACAGATGTTCTCGCGCCAGTTCATAGAAAACCTCGACACAAGTGAACAATTAGGAATAGTGTTTCTTAAGTTAATGAGGTACGAAGATGCTAGTGATAGGTTATTTCATGTTTTGTTTCCACAAACTTTTAAGCGGTGGTTTCAACGTTGCCAATGCTTTACACGGACATGCAAATGTTTCTTGAAAACAGACAGAAGAGGATAATCTATCAATGTCATACTAATCAGACCAAGGAAAAAGTGAAAATCAATCCTTAAACAAAGGACAATAATCAGAGCGGAATGCAGTCGGGCTATGCCTTTTTGGGGAGGTAGTAAACAGCTCAGCAAATGTTGATTGCGGGATCCAGTCGATACACGCCCAGCTGTTCATTACTCAAACTAACGTTCATACATGAGTCACTGAATTGCAAGTTTGATGTCGGCAATA